ACCGTGGCTACTATTCAGGGCCCCGCGGCCGACGACGACGGCGTGCGCGCGCGAAGAAAAAACGAATGTGTCCCGCATGGTATTATTTGACAGGGATGATGGCCCTGGCAGGTGCGCAACCGTTGTTGCAGAAGTTCGAAAAAGTTGCTCGCAAAAGCCCGTTTGACAGAAATGTTTAAAAAGTGTTGGGTTTCCTACGAATCCGCAAGAGCGCGCGGGATGAGATTTTGACATTTTTTTTGTTGAAAAACCATTGGTTTTTTGATGTTTTTATGTTAAAATCGCTCCGAACACTAAGGTTTTGGAAGGATTTCGTCTTGCGCGCGCGAATGTCCACTTTACCTTATTTTTTGCAAGGGATTCTTGAAATTTGATTATATTAGAACAAGAAATGTCATTTTATAGTGTTTTTTGCAAGGGAAAACGGATTACAACAAAACAACCGGATCTGGACCCCATCCACTTTTCTGAAGCTTTCGCGAAAAAATGATGAAAATGTAGCTGCGGCCTAGGCGCGGCGGGGGGGCCGTGCACCAGGGGTCCCAACAATAGTTATTCTTTAGAATTAATAATGTTCAACAACAACAACAACACCAACAACAACAGCAGCAGCAGCAACAACAACAACAACACCAACACCAACACCAACAACAACAACAACAACACCAACAACAACAACAACAACAAACAACAAACAACAACAACAAACAACAAACAACAAACAACAAACAACAAACAACAAACAACAAACAACAAACAACAAACAACAAACAACAAACAACAAACAACAAACACCAAAACAACAACCACAACAACAACAACCACAACAACCACAACAACCACAACCACAACCACAACCACAACCACAACAACCACAACAATCATTGTAAGACTGTTCGCCCTTATTTGCTCGAATGTCCAATAACGCGTACTGCCCAAACCCTCGATACCCGCCCTCATCGTCTTCGATCGAACCCCCTTTGGGGGGTATACCTTTTTTTCCCTGCAGGCCGGGCCCCGGCAAGCGGCGGGGCGGCCGCGGACCGTCGGCCTGGCCAGCGGCAGCGCTGATCGGCGGGGCGGCCGCGGACCGTCGACCCGACCCCAAGAGGGACGGACAGGGGACCGACGACGACGACGACGACGACGACGACGTCGACGACGACGGCGACGACGACGACGACGACGACGGCGACGACGAGCGAAAGCGAGAGCGAGAGAGAACGACAGCAGGGCCACAAGGACATGAAGTAGGCCACGAAGGGCGACAGCGGGGACACGAAGGGAATGCGTGCGGGCCACGAAAAGCGCGAACGAGCGGGGGCCACGAAGGGCAGATAATGCGAGGCCACAGAGGGCAACGACGGGGCCACTGAGGGTAGCAACTGGGCCACGTAGGACAATGAGGGGGCCACAAACGGCGACAGCGGGGCCAAGGGCATGCACATGGGGCCAAAACGGGCGCGAACGAGCGGGGGCCACGAAGGGCATACGTATACTGGGCCGCGGAGGGCAAGGACGGGGCCACTGAGGGAAGCAACGGGGCCACGAAGGGCAGCGATGGGGCCACGAAGGGCAGCAACGGGGCCAGAAGTGGCTGCGACGGTGCCACGAAGGGCAGCAACGGGGGCCACGAAGGGCTGCGACGGGGCCACGAAGGGCAGCAAGGGGGCCACGAAGGGCGACAGCGGGGCCACGAAGGGCAGCGAGGAGGCCACGAGGGGCTGCAACAGGACCACGAAGGGCCGCGAGGGGGCCACGCAGGGCTGCAACGGGGCCACAAAAGGCAGCGAGATCCCGATTCCTAGGTAATCTGCGAGGGAGTCCTAAGCGTGAGCGCGACTCCTGGGTGCCTGGGTGTCGGGAGCGCGGCGCTTCAGCAAATTGCAAGGAATTCCAACGCAAGGGCGCGATTCTTCAGCAAATTACAAGCAAGTCTCCAGCGAGAGCGCGACTCCAGAGCGCCGGGAGAACGATTCCTAAATCAATTGTAAGGAACTCCCATGCGAGAGCGCGATTCCTGAATAGAATGCGAGGAAGTCTCGGGCGGGAGCGGGGGTCCTGGCTAAATTGTGAGGAAGTCTGAGGCGGGAGCCGCTCTTGTTGTAACCCGGGGGCCAGGGGCCCAGTTTGAGCCTCAAGACTTTCCTTGATAATTACCCTGGCAACGTACCCAACCCCTGCGCAATGCGGGGCAGGAGAAGCTTGGGAGACTTGACGAGAAGGCGGCGACGTGGCATGGACGCCTATACTTCTGCGAGCGGCATTCGGGAGGTTCGCAGGTCCCCAATCAAAGGAAAAACGATGAGTAACTAAGTGAAGCCCTGAGTCACTAAGGAAGACGCAAGTTCCAAACGGAGACTGTGGGCAAGGTGCTTGAAACGTGGGCGGGGCAGCAACAACATGACATGGCCGCCCAGGGACGGCGAGGTCCCGCTCAGGTCCGCGCAGTGCCTCACTCTGCTGGACCCACCAACAGTTTTCGAAAGTGGCGAGCCCACCAGCAGCCCTCGAAAGTGGCGACAATTTCGCAGATCGCAGCCCCCCAGGGACGGCGAGGTCTCGCTCGTGTCCGCGCGGTGCCTCACTCCGCTGGACCCACCAGCAGCCCTCGAAAATGGCGACAATTTCGCAGATCGCCGCCCCCCAGGGACGGCGAGGTCTCGCTCGGGTCAGCGCGGTGCCTCACTCCGCTGGACCCACCAGCAGCCCTCGAAAATGGCGACAATTTCGCAGATCGCCGCCCCCCAGGGACGGCGAGGTCTCGCTCGGGTCAGCGCGGTGCCTCACTCCGCTGGACCCACACAGCAGCCCTCGAAAGTGGCGACAGGTTCGCAGATCGCAGCCCCCCCAGGGACGGCGAGGTCTCGCTCAGGTCCGCGCGGTGCGTCCCCCCGCTGGACCCACCAGCAGCGTTCGAAAGTGGCGACAGTTTTGCAGATCGCAGCCCCCGAAGGATGGGGAAGGAACGTGGAGACCAGTCCTTTATTCAAAACGAAATACCCAGCAATCGCAATTCCAATCCATTGCCATACAATCCTCCTCCCTCCCTCCTCTCACCTCCCCCACACGAGCCAAAGAGGAGAGCGGGGGCTTCAAGCCCCCCCCCTTTTGCCCCACGGGTGGGTGGGGGGGGGAGCTTTCAAAGCCCCCCCCCCTTTAAAGGGGGGGGTGGCTCACCCCAGCTCCATTAAAAGGAGGGAGGGGGGGGGTAGCTTGGAAGCCCCCCCCCTCATTTTCGGCCACGAAAAGAAGGAGAGGGGGGGGGGGAACTTCCGAAGCCCACCCCCCCTTTCAAAGGGGGGGGGGGGCTCACACCGGCTCAATTAAAGTGAGGGAGGGGGGGGTAGCTTGGAAGCCCCCCCTCCCCGTTCCGGACCACGAAGAGGGGGGGAGGGGGGGGGGCTTCCGAAGCCCCCCCCCCTTTAGCAAGGAAGGGGGGAGGGGGGTAGCTTCAAGCTGGGGCCCCCCTTCTAGTCTGTCGGGTCCCACGAGCGCGGTCTATCAAACCTTCCACTAGACACCCAACCCTGAGACCCCAGGGCGTCCATCGAACTTCTGATGCGGGAGCGACGCGCTTTCCATAGCAGCACCATCGAAACCCAAGAAACCCGGGGCGCACTGGAGGCAAGCAGGGTGTTTCTTGGCGTGGGCTCCCACTGCAGGTCTGGCGCGACACGGACGCCCAAAAAGCGGCCCGGCACGAGCCGACCCGCAGCGTGTCAGCACGGACGTGTTGAAGACGGCACGTGAAGAGGAAGAAGAAAATGATGATGACGACAAGGACTACAGACAGGATCGGGCCGCTATCGGGCCGCTATCCATCGAAAAAAGAGCCACAATTTAATGGCACTATGGCAGCCCATGGAAAGCATCCTAACATGGGCGTATCGGGGCAGCTGAGCTGCGGAAGGCTCCCTCTCACACGCACGCGCCCGCACGCCTTCCTCCCGCGGCCGAGCGACGTCACGACGCTACAGCGAGAGGCACACACACTTTCACACTCGCGGCGGGCTTGCCTGGGCCACGGGGGGTTGCGACTCAGAGCAGAGAGGAGCCGAAGGCGGAACGAGGAGCCACACACACGTTTGATTCGCGGGTCGAGAGCGCACCTCTTCCGGTCGAAGCTACGAGGAGAAGCCACACACTCCGACGACGTATGTCTTCGTGGCACGGGCCCATGGGATTCTCGAACGCTGCCACAAAACCGGTTTTTCATCCCAAGTAGTTGTTCGACGGCCCGGGAGACAGGGAACGGCCTCCAGCGGCCGAAAACGTAAAAAACAGCTGTCACTATAATGTCGTCCGTCGCCAAGATCTTGAGGGCAGGCGAATGAACTGCCCCCCGTCCGCGCCGGCATGTCGGGGGGATGCGGGGGCGGTACACTGAAAAACACTATAATAAAACAAGCGGAAAAACAGTCTTAGGATGTGGGGAAGCAGCGGCCGTCACTGCAGTCATCGTGCTATCGTCAGGCGCGCATCGTGAGCCCAGAGCGGTTCCTATCTCAGCGTCTTCACGGCACTCGATGGCAGGAGGCAGAAAACGGTGAGGGCATCGGATAAGGAACCACCGCCGCCCTCGTCAGATAAGATCTGCTCCAGGGTCTGCAGCCGCATGGAAACATGCCTTCACGAACGCCTCCACCGTAACCCCACCACCCCACCCCACCACGCCCGCGCGTCGGGGCTTAATGCGGGGGCGACACACCAAGAAAAGCGGCCCCATCCCATGACGCGGGGGAAAAGCGGCCATCCCCTGCGTCGCCAGGACCTGAAGGCAGGAAAAACAATACCCACCACAGCGCTCCCGCCCCCTCCCCCCCTCTCCCCTTGCCTCGTGCCCTGTCCTCGCGCCTTCTCTGCCCTCCCTCCTCCCCTCCTCCTCCTCCTCCTCCTCCTCCTCCTCCTCCTCCTCCTCCTCCTCCTCCTCCTCCTCCTCCTCCTCCCCCTCCTCCTGCTGCTCCTCCTCCTCCGGGGGCCCTGGGGGGGATGCGGACCTCGTCCTGCTGCGGCGCCTGCAGGCAGATCGTGCAAGCCTCAGGCCCCATGGGGTCGGCGGGTCGGGCAGCGCAAAACGGCGGGGCAGAGCCGACGGTGCCGCTGACGATGCCGGCTGCCCTCCTCCTGCCCCTACCCCCTCACTCGTCCTTCTCCACGTCCGTCATAACAACTCGTGTTTTCTGTGTCGTGCTTCCTCCTTGCGCCCTCCTCTTCACCCTCCTCCCCATCATCACCCTCTTCCGCTGCTGCACCCCCCCATCTCATCTCATCCTTCTCCTCCTTCTCCTCCGCCTTCTCTGGGGTGAATTTTCTCCAGCTTCTTTCCAGCCTACCCGAAGTGAGATGCTCCGAGAGCCGCCTGCTACTGCGAGCTCGGAAGATGAGGATTGGGTGGGGGGGGAACGGGGAACAGGAACGGGGAGGGGGACGGGAAGAGCAGAAAACGGAGGTTCCATCATCATCATCATCATCATCATCATCATCATCATCATCATCATCATCATCAGCATCATCATCATCATCATCATCAGCAGCAGCAGCATCATCATCCCCACCACCACCATCAACATCATCATCAGCATCATCATCGTCATCATCATCGTTATCATCATCATCATCATCATCATCAGCATCATCATCATCATCATCATCATCATCACCATCGTTATCGCCAACAACAGCATAAGCATCAGCACCAGCAGCAGCACAATCATCACAAACAACAACAAAGGCATCATGATCATTATCAGCAGCGTCATCGTCATCGACCTCATCCTAATGGTCATTGCCAACGCCATCGTCTTGTCATCGTCCTCATCACCATAATCAGAATCATTATAGATCACCATCATAAGTATGATCTTCATCATCATCATCATCGTAAGCAGCAGCCTCATCATCAGTTTCTCAGACTCGTCCTCATCAGCATCATCAGCATCATAATCATGAGGAGCACCATCATCATCATCATCATCATCATCATCATCATCATCATCATCCTCGCCACCATCGCCATGATAATGAGCAGCAGCATCAGCATCATCATCGTCTGCACCATCAGCACCGTAATCAGCATCATCATCCTCATCATCATCGTCGCCATCATCACCGTCAACATCATCATCAACATCAACATCATCATCATGTCCATCGCCATCATCGCCATCACAATACTTACCGCCACCATGATCATCATCATCAGCAGCAGCAGCAGCAGCATCGCATCATCAGCATCCTTTCCGCCGTCCTGGTCATTATCGGCATCATCGCCACCATCATCATCATCATCACCACAATCACCATCGTTATCGTCATCATCAGCATCTTCATCGTCATAGTCATCATCACCACCATTATCGTCGTCATAATAACCACCATCATCATCATCCTCAGCCTCCACCTCCTCATCATCATAAGCATCATCAGATTCATCATCATGATAACCATCGCCATCATACTCATCATCATCACCATCAGCATCATAATCAGCATCACCTCCATCATCATCAGCATCACCATCATCGCCAGCATCATCATCATCACCACCATCACCATTATCATTATAATCATTATCTGCTTCGGCATCTACATCACCATGCTCAGTAGCATCATAATGTTCACTATCATGGTCATCAATCATCGACGTCACGATCACCATCAGCAGCATCGCCATTATCATCATCACCAGCACCAGCAGCAGCATCATCACCATCGCCACCAGTATCATCATCAGCATCATCAGAATCACCATCATCATCATCATCATCATCACCATCATCATTTGCAGCGACATCCTCATTGTCATCACCATCACCATCATAATCAGCAGCAGCAGCATCATCACGATCGTTATCATGACCACTCGCAGCGGTATCATCATCATCATCATCATCATCACCAGCACCCATCGCCGTCATCATCATAATCATCATCAGAACCATCACCATCACGACCACCATAATCATCATCACCATCACCACCACAATCACCATCATTGTCGCCGTCATTACCATCATCGTCATCATCATCGCCGCCATCATCATCAGCATCATCGACCCCATGATCATCATCATAGTATTCATCGTCATCATAATCATCATCACCAACATCCTCAGCGTCTCCATCAACCTCAGCAGCATCATCATCAGCAGCACCATCATCACCATCACCAACATCATCACCAACACCATCATCATCACCATCGTCACCATGGTCATTGGCATCATCACCATCATCATCATAAGCAGCGCTACCACCATCATTACCATCACCATCATCGTCAGCAACATCGCCATCATCAGCGTCAGCAGCACCATCATCATCACCATGATGAGCATCGCCATGACAGTCATCGCCAGCATCATCATCGCCATCAGCAGCATCATCATCAGCACCAGCATCATCTCCACCATAACAACAAACATCATCAAGAGCATCAGCATCACCGCCATCGTCATCATCTCCAACATGCCCAGAATCATGATCACCATCACCATCATCATCATTGTCAACATCCTCATCATCATCATCATCAACAACCTCGCCATACTCACCATCATAATCGCTATCACCATCACCATGATCGTCATCGCTACCATCCTCAGCAGCATCACCATCACCATCACCGTCGGCATCACCATCACCATGATCGCCCACACCATTATCATCAGGAGCAACGCCATCACCATCACCAGCACCAGCATCCGCAACATCATCGTCATCATCTTCATCAGCGCCATCTTCATCTTCAACAGCACCTCCAGCATCTCCATAATCATCATCATCACCAGCACCTACACCATCATCGTCACAACCATCACCGTCACATTCAGCAGCAACAGAATCACCATCACCAGTACCGTCCTCCCCATCAACATTCTCAGCATCATAATCCCCATCATCATCACCGCCATCATAAGAATCTTCATTCGCAGCAACATCATCCAGCAGAATCATCATCAGCATCAGCATCGCCATCATTATCAGCAGCATCATCGTCACCGTGATTATCATCATTATCAGCAGCATCATCATCATCGTGATCATCATCACGATCATCCTTAGCATCGACATCATCATCACTATCAGCGGCATCCGCATCATCAACATCAGCAGCACCATCATCCTCATCATTACCACCATCACCATCATCATCGCCATCAGCATCATCATCATCATCACCATCATCGCCACTATCATCATCAGCAGCAGCAGCATCATCATCATCATTATCATTATCATCATCATCATCATCATCATCATCATCATCATCATCATCATCATCATCATCATCATCATCATCATCATCATGACTACCTCCCTCGTTATCTCGCCTCCTCGTCCCTCGCTCGCCCTCCTTCTGTGCAAGGTTCCCATCCTCTCGGGTTCGTCTGCGTTCCTGAGGGGGGACCGACTGAGGACCACCACTCTCTTGACCAGCGTCCTACAGAATGGCGCCAAGAGGCCCTCCAGGGCTCCTAAAAGGCCCCCAAAGAGCCCCAAGGCACTGGACACCAACAGAGCCCAAAGCAGACCCGAATATGGTTCCAGGAGGCTCTCACAACAGAAGGTCCGCGAAAGCCTCCTCCTCATCATCCATTCCTCCCCTCCCGCCTCCTCCCTGCTCCTCCTCGTCTTCGTCGCCCGCGATGCAGGCGGAAGACATGGTCACAAGAGGCCATTAAGGGCCCTGCCAGATCTCTCCGCGCACCCCTGTTGCCCCCTTTGTTGCACTACATTTGTCTCGTCCTCCTTCCTCCCGTCAGCTATCATAGGCATCGTATCTCGCTGTGCTGGTGGGAATCTGCAAAGCATCAATAATGGTTTCCAGTTGGAGGGAGGAGGGAGGAGGCGGATGGAGCGAGAGGGAAGAAAATGAGTTGACGCAGAGCCACCTTGCCTGAAGCGAGCTGCTGTCTCAGACGTGAAGGGGAGAGGAGGAGAAGGAGGAGGAGGAAAACGAGGAGGAAGAGAGCAAAAACGATGATAAGAAGAAGAAACTCGAGAAGACAGTTGAGGAGGAGGAGGAGGAGGAGGAGGAGGAGGAGGAGGAGGAGGAGGTATGGGAGGGTGAGGGAGGTTTCGTGGATTTGCGCTGAGCCTCCCTCCCTGGCGCGCTCCGCGCGCCAGGGGTGACGCCGGAGGCGCCGCCAGGGGGTTGCAGCGCGGATCCGAAAAACCCGCGCGGAGCTCCACAGGTCTGTGTTTCTGTCGTTGCTCTTCTTCGTTAAGGGAGGGAGGAGTAAAAGGAGGAGGAGGAGGAGGAAAAGGAGGAGGAGGAGAAGCAGGAGGAGGAGAGGGAGGAGGAGGAGGAGGAGGAGGAGGAGGAGGAGGAGGAGGAGGAGGAGGAGGAGGAGGAGAGGAGAAGAGACAAGCAGCCAAGTCCGCAGCTCCAAGCAGGGCAGGGATAAGAAGAAAGCCGAGAAACAAGTTGAGGAGGCGAGAGGGGAGGGAGGGTCGGTCGGATCGGGCATTGAGGCGGTCCTCGTGCCGTGACGGGGGAATGGCTCACACCCCGTGAGCCAGGGGCAACGCAACTCTTAGTCCGCACGCCACCCCCTCAGTGCGAGGAGGGGTACCCAGCCCTGAGCTCGAGCTTGAGCCAGGGGCAACGTAACTCTTATTCCGCACGCCATCCCCTCAGTGCGAGGAGGGGCACCCAGCCCTGAGCCCGAGCTTGCCAGCTTGCCATGGGGCACCAGGCCCGCCCGGCACAGACCAGGAGCAGGGGCGGCGACGGAAAGGCGTGAGCCTCTGAAGCGAAGCAGATAACTGACTGCGAGAGGGAGGCAGAAGCCAGCAGCGGAGGAGGGCGGAGGGGCAGGATGGGGTGGAGGGAAGCGGGGGCCTCGAGGCAGACGCAGGGAGGAGCGGGGCTGGGAGGCGAGGAGGGGAGGGAGGGGAGGGAGGAGGGCAGGGGAGGGGAGGGAGGGAGGGAGGGAGGAGGGGAGGGGAGGGAGGGAGGGAGGGAGGCGTGGAGGCTGGATGGGGTGGAGGCAGAGGGGGCGGGGCCTCAACAAAACGAGGGGCCCTGGCAGGGGAGCCGCAGGGCCCGCCCCGCCGGCCGAGGGGCCTCGGAGGGCGGCGTGCCCCCCACCACGGTGGCCGGCAGGGACGCCACGAGCCGGCGCAGCTGCGCTGGCCTCGGAGCGCTTCCGCGGGGAGGGGGGGGGGACGATCCTCCCCGTCCTCGGCGTCGTCGACGTCGTCGTCCTCCTCCGCCTCCTCCTCCTCCTCCTCCTCCTCCTCCTCCTCCTCTGCGTCCGCCTCGTCCGCGTCGTCCTCCTCCTACTCCTCCTCAGCCAACTGCTCCACTCCCTCTCCTTATAAATAACTTACAAAATCCCAGTCACACTCATGGGTCAGTTTTTGGGGCGGGCCGGGCGTTTCGCCTGAGACGTCCTCACTCACCACTTATGACTCTGAAGACTCAGAAGCTTAAACACTGACAACAGCTTTGCAGATGGAGGGCGGGTGGTTTTCAAAATGTGGCTCTCGCCCCAGCGCCGCGCACATTCGTTGTAAAACTTTGCAAGGATTTCACGGATCGAGGGCGGATTATTTTGAAAATGTGGCTCTCGCCTTAGCGCCGAGCACATTCGTTCTAAAACTTTGCAAGATTTTCACGTATTGAGGGCTGATGAATTTGAAAATGTGGCTCTCGCCTTAGCGCCGCGTACATTCGTTCCAAAACTTTGCAAGAGTTGCAGGGATTCCCATGATCGGCGTACCAGAAATTATGTTTCGGAAAGATTCAGGATTATGAGGGCGTTACGTCGATTCGCTGTGATGGCTCAAGGTCGCTAAGACGCAACAATCTGCTTGATCCGTGGCGTTGGAATCCTGAGAATATTGTTTTGGCGCGCTTAAGGGTCTTCAAACGGGTGTCTTCCAACGTGACAGCTCCCTGTGGAAATGAACCGTTGAAGGGCCTATGAAGAGGGAGCTTGGAGGGAGGGTTCATTCCCACATCGTTGATGACTCTTGGGTTTCCCACTGGTCCTCCTCCTCCTCCTCCTCGTCCTCCTCGTCCCCCTCCTCGTCCTCCTCGTCCTCCTCCCGCATCCACCGCGTCCTTCTCCGCTGCCTCCTTCTCGTCCTCCTTCTCCGCCTGCTCCTTCTCCTCCTCCTCCTCCTTGCTCTCCTCGTCCTCCTCCTCCTCCTCCTCCTCCTTGTCCTGATCGTCCTCCTCCCGCGCCTCCGCCTCCTCCTTCTCATCCTCCTTCTCCTCAACCTCATCCTCATCCTTCTCCTCCTCCTCCACCGCCTCCTCCTCCTCCTGCCTGTCCTCCCCACAGAAGCCCTCAGGGAACGACAAAATCACGGCAGGAAGTCTAACTCAATACTCAGCCACTGGGTCCCCTTACTGGGCCGTTGGACCGTCAACAAACGGCACGGGATATGGGAATGGGTCCAGACCTCTGGGGGTCGACGTAATGAGCAAACCATGATGTCGGGGGTCTGGGCTCGTCGTCGTCCTCCTCATCCTCCTCCTCCTCCTTCTGATCCCCTTCCTCCTCCTCCTCCTCCTCCTCCTCCTCCTCCTCCTCCTCCTCCTCCTCCTCTTCCTCCTCCTCCTCGGCGTCCTCCTCCTCTTGCAGTGCTTTCTCTGTAGATGCCTCCTGCCCGTGCCGCCACCGGGCGTGTCGGCAGAGCGGGCCCGGCAGTGCACCCGAGACCTCCTCACCGCTCGAGGCACCGACTCGCACCGAAGTGCCCGCTGGGAAGTGCCCAGCGGTCAGCGCCGCCGCGGCCGCGTCGGTCACGCCGCTTTATCGGGGATGGACAGACCTCCCTTTAGTAAAACGTGGTTTAGTGAAAACGACCTCGGGCCCAAACCTGGCGGGCGCAAGCCTGGAAAATAACGGCCGCGGCGCCCTCTCGAGAACCGAAAACGGACAATTCACTAATCGACGTGTCACTGTTGGGGGTTCTGTCCACCCCCGACACTAGCTGGCCGCTGCGCGCGCGATCGTGCGCGGGCTGGCGCGGCCGCAGAGATGCACCAGCCGACGCCAAACACTCATCGCAATGGCCGTCGCGTGGGTTTTTTGCAGACCAGGTTGCGAGTGGGTGGCTGGGATGCTTGCGCGAGCAGTGGATGAACCACTCACTGCGAGCATTGGTGAATTCACCGCATAGATTGCACCACATATATTGCTAGAGACACAGTGCTTGGGGTCCACGCTGGCTAACATGGTCGCAACCGAAGGCGATGGGTGGACGGGGGGATGCGGGGGGCGCGGGGGTGCGGGATGGGGGTCAGAGAGGGGGGTGGGAAGGGCGCGGAAAGAGGCGGGGAAAAGGGAGAGGGGAGAAGGCTGGAGTGCAGGGTGGGGGGGAGACTCGTCACGTCCTTTTTCCCGTCGCCCTCCCTCCTCCTCCTCCTCCTCCTCCTCCTCCTCCTCCTCCTCCTCCTCCTCCTCCTTCCCCTTCTCCCCCCCCCCCTCTCTTGCATTCGGGAAGCGCGAGGGCGGAGGGGAAGGGATGAATGAGGACGGACGTGCCAGGGGGAAGGGGAGCAGGAAGCAGGGGGAGCACGTGCGGAGTAGGGCGTACAGGGTACAGATTGGGCAGCGGGGATCGGGGAGAGGCAGGAGGATGAGGATGAGGATGAGGATGATGACGAGGAGGAGGAGGAGGAGGAGGAGGAGGAGGAGGAGGAGGAGGATGACGAGGAGGAGGAGGAGGAGAGGAAGGGGAGAAGGAGGAGGAGAAGGAGGAGGAAGAAGAGGATAACTACTATTCTCTCGCCTTCCTGCAAGGACTCGAAGGACCCCAATTCACCCTTGAACAACTCAAGCCCGTCCTCCTCCTCCTCCCTCCTCCTGCCTCCCGCCTCTCTCCTCCCACCTCCCTCCCTCCTCCTCTTCCCTCCACCCTCCTCCCTCATCCCACATCCTTCTTCCCTCATTCCACATCTTCCCCTTTCCTCCTCCTCCTCCTCCTCCTCCTCCTCCTCGTCCTCTTCCCCCATCCCTCCCTCCCTCCCTCCCCTCCCTCCCTCCCTCCTCCTCTCCTCCTCCTCCTCCTCCTCCTCCTGCTCCTGCTCCTCCTCCTCCTGTTCCTCCTGTTCCTCCTCCTCCTCCTCCTCCTCCTCCTCCTCCTCCTCCTCCTCCTCCTCGTCCCCCCTGGAGCAGGGGAGAGGGTCCGTACCGACGGCGGGGTGGTGAGGGGGCGCCGACCGACGGGGCGCCACCAGCTGCCGCGCTCGCCCCCGCAACCCCAGCCCGCGCTCCGAGGCGCCGGCGAGATGGGGCGCGGGCGCGAGGCCATCTCGGCCCTGCGGTCGGCCGCCGACCCCCGCCGCGGCTGCCGCCGCTTCCACCTCCGCCGCGACCGCCGTCGCCGCGGCCGCCGTCGCCACCGCGATTGCCGTCGCCGTGGCCGCCGCCGCGGCGGCCGCCGCCGCCGCTGCGGCCGCCGCTGCAGCCGCCGCCGTCGTCTCGGCAGAGGCACAGGAAAGTGGGGTCCTCCACAGGGTACGGAAACCGCAGACGACGACGAAGACGACGACGACGACGAGGACGAAGAGAACGAGGACGAATACGAGGACGAGGACGAGGACGACGGCGATGCGCAGAACGGGCTGTCAATTGACGCACACTGATGTAGACGCCGCTGCGACTTATGAGCACCACTAGCACCTGACCTGAAAGCAAGTCGCGCACGCGGCTCTTGCGCCCACCGCTTGGCATTCTTGCTGGCGTTGAGCATGGCTCTGACAGGCTCAAGCCACATTCCTGGAAGGTCTTTGCGCGAAAACCCGGGAAATTCAGGCACCACCTCAGGCCGCCGCGCCCAAGACCCTCATCCCCATCCCACTGACACTGAGTCTTGGAGGGCAATCCGCCGACGGCGCCGTCTCCCGCAAGTCCAGGACCACGCCGAGCCTGGCGCGCTCCGCGAAAGCTGGCGAGAAGGTCCGTCCAAGGTGCTGCACCGACCTGGCCAGAGCGCCAGCTGGAGCAGCAACAAGCTTCCAGCTTGCAGATTCACCCACAGCCGCAAGTGTGGGATCCTGCGACTTGCAAAACTGCTGTATGACATCGTGCGGCACCTCCTGGGCGTGGAGCACGCATGACCAATTGTGAATCGGGCCGGCAACCGCAACGCATGCCGGGTGCTGCTCACGCCAAGGGTCGAGATTGGACGCCACCCAGTGGAAGCTCCCTGGCGGGATGGAGCTCCAGCCCTGCTTGACCAACGACGTCCTGCGGGCCAGCAACTGCGGTGCCACGCACAAGATGCCGAGACCGTATAGATGGCCCAATCGCTGCCCGCGCCAGTTTCTTGAACTTAGATCCCGACGCAGCCAAGCGCTTGAAGCGCTGAACCCGCCCCAGCATGTCCTTCACACGACGCCCAGTCACCTAATAGCCTTGCCAGCGGCCGCCTCAAGACCAAGCAGTTCTAACCATGGCTGCGCACAAAAGCCATACCGACGGAGCCGCGCAGCCAACATGGCACCATTGACCCCGTCCGAGAACGTGGGCTTGGCCTTGGACTTTGGCAACGGCCAGGTTAAGATGCCCAAAAGCGTCACAGAGGAACTTGATCGTGCCCACCGACAGCTGCTGGATGTCCCTCAGCTTGGCCGTGACTTGCAACGTTAGATCATCCAAGATGGCGCAGCATCCAACGTCTGGGCCACGAAAACGTCCGTGGATGTGATCATGCGGAGCTGGACCAGGTCCATGGCAAATTTGCAGCCAGGCAAGTCTCCTTGATCGACCTCCACAACGTACGAGGTAGGTAGCCTGTAGCCAGAGCAGGCTCCTGGGCGCTCGATACACCGCCAACACGCACGCCGCAACTGCCGAGGGAATGAATGATCACGAGGAGCCGCGGTGAGGCGCCTCTAGCGGACACGGTCGAGACCCATCTCGATGTCAACGATGCACGTGACCGTGCCCTTGCCCACATCCATGGCGCCCCCGCTGTGACCAGGACCCTGGACGCAACGTCCACGGTGGTCTTGCCCGTGCCGGGGGCGAAGTAGGGCCTACGGTAAGCAAGGGGCCACTCACGCAACTGCTGCCCACGCACCTGCGACAATACTCGGTAGGTGGTCTGGAGGGGCGCGATAGGCCGCAACCCTCCAGCGATTGGCCATCGCTCCCACTGCTCAGCCATCCACATGATTGCAGCCAGCAGTAGCAGGGTAGCGTCGCTGAGCAAGTTGCTCGCCTGAGGTGCGAGCTTGTCAGCAGTTTGTCGAGTGTGCCACTTGAAGCTCTGGGTCGCATTCCTGACTTCAGCAGCGCGTGGCACAGGCAAGCTAAGCCAATGAGGTGAAGAAGAAAGGAGGCGGGAGGTGAGAAAGAAGAGAAGGCGAAGGCGTCACACGAATAACAAGAACCCCATCCTTGGGATATGGGGGGTTACAATAAACCATCAGTGTGTGCGTGTGTGTGGTGCGCGTTGCCACGATGAGCCATGTGCCGAATCCGTTTGCTTTCATCCCAGTGCGATCTCGAGCGCTGCTTGGACTTCTCGCGGCCGCTGTCTTACAAACTTGCCGCGATGGGCGGTCGCGCACTTCACGCCCAAAACCCTGGAGAGCAGGCGTCGGAAAGTGACGGCCACGGGCCACAGCGGGAAATGACAGCGAGGCCGACAAGGCCACACCACAAAGTTAAACCAGCGCGTTGAGCCTATCACAGAAACCCGGCCTCGCTGACGACTGCCTACTGACACGCTCTGTGCGCCAACAGGCCGCAATGGTAGAGGGAGAAGCACAATAGAAATTTCAACTTTTGGTGCAACGCGCGGTCCTGGATCTGCGCTGGACCCCCCCTCCCTGGCGCGCTCCGCGCGCCAGGGGCGGCACCTGCGCTTGGGGGACTCGGGGCCCCGAGCCCGAGGGGACTCTGACGAACCAACACTTTGGGACGCCCGACGAAACTGCAGCCGTGGATCGAGAAGGCGCCCAGAGCCACACGGGCAGGCAGACGCAAGCCCGCGTGGATGCCTCGCATCTTTGAACAATTTCTGGGTGCTCGTCTTCCTCTCCACTTCCCGGATGTTCCCACATGTGCCTGGGAATCGACGCTCTGTTGGTGTGTGTGTTCCCCTCCTGAGTCGAGACACCCTCCATCCCTCGTTCTCTCCGGATGGATCTGGTGAGGTCCAGGCTTCCAAAGTCCTGGTTTCGAGAGCCCTACAACGTCCAGGCTTTCAAGGTCTCGGTTTCGGAAGCCCTGGTGGATCTTTTATGTTAGGCAAACTTCAGGTGCTATGCTTGTAGCGTTCGTCCTTCTCCTCCTCCCCCTCCTCCTCGCCCGCCGCCTCCTCCTCCTCTTTTATTGTCCTCCTACTCCTCGCACGGCGACGACGACAACTCCGACAACGACAACGAGGTCGAGGTCGAGGTCGAGGACGAGGACGAGGACAAGGACGAGGACGAGGACGAGGACGAGGACGAGGACGACGACGACGACGAGGGCGGCGGCGGCGGCGACGGCGACGGCGGCGGCGGCGGCGACGGCGACGGCGACGACGACGACAACGACGACGAGGGTCTCCTACACGCAAGAGTGATCTTGGGCAGGAGGGACCTTTGGTGCGCGGTTTTCGAGGTCCGAGAGGGGGGTCGGCGCCCAGGCCAGTGCTCGAGAGACCCCTGCGGGGCAGCAACTAAGCTCGGCCAGGAAAAACTCGGCCAGGCTGAACCCAGCCAGCTGAACACGGCCAGGCTGAACCCAGCCAGCGAAACTCGGCCAAGCTGAACTCGGCCAGGTGGACTTCGGTCCGGGATGAGCTCAGAATGGACGAGTTCAGCTGGCCGAGTTCAGCCTGGCCGAGTAATCCCCTTGTCCCCCATGTGGGCCCGCACCACAGGTCACTCCGGCGAAGGGTCACTCCTACGCGCAGCCGAGAGGGGTTGGCGCGGCGGGACGAGCGCCCCCGTTCCTGGCGTTGCCGGCCGCGGAGACGAGGTCCATCAGGGACCTGGACTGCCGCAGCGGCTCCTCCCCGCGCGGGGGGCGCGGGGAGCCCCAGGTCGGAGAAGCTCCTCCTCCCCCTCCACAACCGCCACCATCACCACCACCATCACCACCATCATCACAACAATCAGCATCATCATCAGAAGCATAACCACCACATGCCTCTTCCTCCTGGTCCTCATCCTCCTCTTCCTCCTTGTCCTGGCTCGTCTCCTCTTACCCCGTCCTCCTGCAGAGGAAAACTTAGAATAGCATTCAATGCAGCAACAAACATGAACAGAACGCAGGCCGCCCATCCTCCTCCTCCTCCTGCTCCTCCTGCTCCTCCTGCCCCTCCTTCTCCTCCTCTTCCTCCTCCTACTCCTCCTGCTCCTCCTCCTCCTCCTCCACCTCCTCGTCCTCCTCCTCCTCCTCCTTCTCCTCCTCCTTGCTCCTTGCTCCTCCTCCATCTCCTCCTCCTCCTCCTCCTCCTCCTCCTTCTCCTCCTCCTCCTTGCTTCTTCTCCTCCTCCTCCTCCGAGTCCTCGCCCTCCTCCTCCTCCTCCTCCTCCTCCTCCTTCCGCTCCCCTCCTCCTCCTCTTACTCCTCCTCCTCCTCCTCCTCCTCTTCCTCCTCCTCCTCCTCCGCCTCATCCCTCCCTCTGCCCCTCCTCCTCCTCCTCCTCCTCTTCCTCCTCCTCCTCCTCCAGCAGAGAACAATGGAACGCAACCGCCCGACCTCGACGCCCCGCGCGCCGCCGCGAGGCATGAGATACTGGGCCCACGGCGGGTGGACAAGAAAAGGCCAACGCCCGTCGGGACACGACAATGTGCGAGATATCTGTTTTACTCTCCGGCGATGATCGTGTTACCGGTGGGGGGGGAGGGGGGGAGGGTCCCGCAAATGAGCAAACTGATCTTTTCGCCGTGGACAGACCCACGAACGCCCGCGCGCACCAATACTGAGTACCCCCCGTCGGACCTGCGCAGCCGACAGGGTTAGGTTATACGGGGAGTGGAAGGGGGGGTCGGGGATCTGCTGGCCTGGGTCAATCCAGACCCGGGCCAGTCAAGCGTTGCAGGATCCTGCAAGGTACTGCAGAATCCTGCGGGATCCTGCACCCAACCCCGGGTCAGTGCGCCCCTGGCCCCGCAGGATCTGGCAAGATCTGGCGCTCTGGCTGACCCCCGTCTGCATTGACCCCAGTCTCTTGAGCCCCAAGGAGGTGCGGGCCCGATAATTCCCGTCACCAGCGGGCCCCTTACAAAGCACGCCCGCCTACGACGAAGTGCATCCCGCAAGTCGATAGCCCCCTCCCCCCCAAAAACCCAAAAGTTGCCAGCGGTGCGCGCAAGGCGACGCGCGAAGGACAACATGTGGACACTTCAACTTTGGGGTTGGGGGGACGAGATCATCGAGGCCTCGAGGGGCGACAAGATCCACGAGGCCTCGATCTTTATTTGTCTTCCGCAAGATCCCTCGAGGCCTCGAGGACGATGGCGAGGGCGATGCCTCGAGGGCGAGGCCAAACTCGCCGATCCCTTGAGTGGGGCGGGACATACGCCGTATCACATGTTATTCAGCACTACTTGATGTGGCTTTTGCGCCGTGTGTGTGTGTGTGTGTGTGTGGACACTTTTTGTGTGGCCACCGTCCAGGTATGATGTGTGTTTGGGGCCTCGTCGGTATCAACATGCATGCAGTTCAGCGTGTGCTCGTGCGTTCGTATGCATTCGCCAATGCACGCGATCATACGGCTATGTACGCACATGTGGAACCACGGGATACCCGTGGGACCACCACGGGACAACCCAAAGGACAATCCAAAGGACAACCATGCCACAACCCACGCGGTAGCCCACGGGACAACCGCGGGTCATCCCGCGGGACAGCCGCGAGACAACCTACAGGCCCACTACAAGAAGGGTCCGGGAGCCCACTGCCGTTTGGCTCAATCCACAGAGCCCACGAGGCTGGTGTCGAATGACGAGTCTTGCGACGCAGCCAGTCACGCCGCGCCCTTGCTAACGCACTCATGGGCGGCACGCGCACGCGTGGGACGAGCCTTGCCCAGCAGGACACTGGCCGCGTCCATAACCGCGGCCACAGCCGAACTTCGGTGTACCTTCAAGGCGCGCGCATGTCCGCGCCGCCACGGGACCCTCCGCTGAGGCGGCCGACAGCGCGCCGATCGTCGCTGACCCGCGCACTCTCTCATGCCGCAGGAGGCGCCAGTGGCCATCCTACGTGGCCGAAAGTGCGGCGATCTTCCTTGACTGCTGCCCTGCAGTGGTAACAAGGGATACGTCGACCCTTATCCCCGGGCCTGGGAGGTTTTCGACTGGACCTGGGATATACGGTGTGGGGGCGTCCATCCTCGATAGGGGTACGTCCGAATAGCCCCCTCGGGGTGTATCCTAGGTTTCCCCTCTTTTTCTGAGCGGCCTCATTCTTCGTCGAAGAGTCGAGGATTGTGGGAGAAAAATCGCCTGCGGTTGACTGCTGCCCTGCAGTGAGCCTTCGCGACGATGTAGCTGACTCTGAGGACTGACCGCGAAGGGTGTTTAGACCCCCGCCACTCGATGATAACTAATTATTTTCGGGCGGCCTTATTGAAGGACTGGCGTCCAACCAATCGGGGGTGACTACTTCTTGTTTTCCGCGGCACCCGTCGCGCAACAACGAGGAGGAAGAGGAGGAGGAGGAGGAGGAGGAGGAGGAGGTTTTAGGACCAGTCCGATCCACCGCCGAATGGAAAAGCGGAGGGGGGGAGGGGGCAAAATAAGAGACCCCCCACTCGCCCCCGCCGCCCCCCGGGAGCCGCCGCCCTTCGCCGCGGCGCAGCGGCGCCGACCGCGGATCTTGGGCGGTCTTGCCTGGCTTGGCGCAGGCAGCTCGCGGTCCCCGCGCACTTGGCAAGACTCGCGGCAAAGCTCGCACAGTGCGCGTGTAAAAAATGCGAGGGTAGACACAGTGCTCGCCGCCATTGTTCAGAGGTTCCACTGCATACAGACAGATGTAGTTGCAAATGAGATGGTCAAAGCTCTACGCTCACGCTTGCCTGCCATCTTGGCTCGCACGAGTGATGTGCGAGCACTTTCGCGAGCTCGAGCGACAGCGCGCACTTCCAGGCTGCGCGCCCCGCGCCAGACGACACTCGCTCTGAAATGGGATTTCAGATGTCAGCCAGCATCACACGAGGAGTCGCCGCGCCGTTCGTGCTCGAAGCCCCCCGACTGGACGACGCCGACACCACGGCAAAAACCCACGGCAAACCTTGCGTCCCGCGCCCCGAGCGGCGCCGCGGCAGCCCCACGGGCGAACCCACCGCGCGCCAGAGGCGGCGTCTGCCCCCCCGGTGGCCGAGGCGCCCTCCCTGAGAGAGGTCAGGCCACGCGTGGGCACGAAGAGCGCGGCGACGTATGGCCGTCGCGCCACAGTCGGGGAGACGTAAGACCCGGGTACGGGGGACTCGGAAATCCCCGACGAGGTCGTCAAAAAAATGACGAGGCCGAGCCTGCTTTTTGACGAGGCCTCCCGCTGCAGACATCCCACGAGACTCCTCCTCGTCAAAATCCGAGGCGCGGTCGTCAAAAAACGATGGCGAACCCGAGTCCTGGCAAACCCGGGTCTTACGCTCCCCCGACACAGGGGTGGACACTGTTTTTCAGGTCACCGTGGTGCCAACCAGCAACGCCCACCCAGGGACGAGGGTCAGATCTCTCTGGCCTCCTCGCTCTGAACCCCTCCCTCCTGCCAGCGTCTGGGACAGAGCTCGGGCCTCAGGCGAACGCTCGGGATGACTCCGGCGCTCCAGGGAGGCCTCTATAGGGGCGGCGCGGCTGCTGGAAGGCACCCTCTGGCCCCAGTCTCCACGAGCACCAGAAAACTTCGAAGGCCCTCAAAGACCAGATGCCGCCGAGCCACAAAACTCGATCCTTGACCCTCGTCCTCGAGGGCCGACGACGGCGCCGACCAATTGGCTACACGCACGAGTGACCACATGCAAGAGTGACCTCTGGCGCGCGGCTTCCCGATCACTGCACGCGACGCAACAGGTGGCGGTCTGCGCGACTCGGCGTGGCCCCCCGCGCCCCTGAAAGTCACGCACCAAAGGCCTGGCGACGGGTTACCCTTACGCGCAGCCGAGGGAGTAGCCTCTTGAGGTAAAACTCGGGCATTCAGAAGTCTCTCGGGTTGGTTCGGGCACCCCCCGAACGGTCTCGGCGCGGCGCAACTGACGGAACGCATCTGGAGCCCGCAAGACCTCCAAGGGCCAACGAAAACGTCCGAAAACACTTCTGAAGCAGACGAGAGACCATAGTCGGGAACTGGGAGACGTACGACTCGGGTTCGGGGGACTCGGAAAATGGCGAGACCCAATATGAGATTTCACGCGACCTCCCGCTGCAAACGTTCCACGGAAACTGGATCGTCAAAATCCAATACGTAACAGGAATGAAAAGGCATAAACATAAACTTCCGGATGTCCGATCGGACCGGTTGGGTCTGAGCTGAATCCCCCTCCCTGGTGTGCGGAGCGCGCCAAGGGCGGCGCCGGAGGCGCCGCTGGGGGTTCCGACGCAGATCCAAGAAATCCGCGCGGAGCTCCGAAAGTTTCTGTTTACGCCGATTTCTGTTCTTCGAACCAAGATCCAGCACGCGCCTGTCCAAAATCGTCGGCGAACCCAGGTCCCGGCGAACTCGAGCCTTACGCTTCCCCGTAATAGGGACAAGGTTTCTCCCCCAAACTCTTCAACGATTGTTTCTTCTAGTTTCTCGATGAAGCGACGAGGCTCCTGTGAGGACGAAGCCCCGCCGTGCTGCTGGTTGTGGCGGTGCAGGGCGCGCTGCTGCCTGGCCTCCACGCGCTGCACGTCCGCGAGGCTCGGGGACGACAGCTCCAGGCGTCGCCTCGGCGGCAAAGTTGGGGAGCCGAACAAAAATTGCGGAAACGCGAACTTTCGGGGATGGGCAGAACCCCCTTTCGCAAAACGTGGCTTCGTGAAAACGACGTCGGGTCCAAACCTGGCGGGCGCAAGCCTGGAAAATTACCGTCGCGGCGCCCTCTCGAGGACCGAAAATGGACAACTCACTAATCGACGTGTCAGGGTGGGGGTTCTGCCCACCCCCGACACTTTTGGAGTTCAGCGCGGGTTTCTTGGATCGGCGCTGGAGCCCTCTGGCGGCGCCTCCTGCGCCGCCCCTGGCGCGCTCCGTGCGCCAGGGAGGGGGGTCCAGCGCCGATCCCAGAAATCCGCGCGGAGTTTGAAGCAATGTTCGTTCAACGGGGGATCCAACAGGCACCGATACCGCTGCTCCCCGGACCTCTCCCGAGGCGCGTCCTGACCCAGACTGCGAGGCGAATGCAGCGCTGACGACGAGGGCCTCCCGGAGGCCAACAAGAGAAGGAGAAAACGGGCGAAGGGTAGCGGTATGGGTACCTCTCCCTCCTCGGGTCCAGCGCCGATCGAAGCAATCCGCGCGGAGCTCCACAGTTCATGTTTATACTGTTCTTCCATCCTCGGATCAAAAGCCTGGCTCTCTGACGCTTACGGGCCTCTTCGCGCGGCTTCTGGGCGCGCGCGGCCCTTCTCGTGCCCCAAGGGGACCCTGAGCTGCATCGAACCGCGAAATCGGATTGGAAGCGAATCGGATCGCCAGCGAATCGTCCCGCATCGAATTGACATCGGATCGCCGCCCCCAGCTCCGGCTGGCCCCAACCGATGCAGGTGAGTCGACCCGAATCGAACCGACTCGGAATCCTGGCCCCAGCCGGCGAATCGAATCGCATCCGATCGGATCGTCAGCGGCCTCGCCGGGCCCCGGCCCAGGGGTTACTTTCTACCGGCTGCGATCTCTAGAAAGCCTTCCGGGGGGCGTCGGGCTCTTTTGCCAGGCGGCCGCCACGAGGCCAGGGTCAGGGCCAAGCAGGGCCCCGACATCGGATCCATCGTCCAGAGACGCTCCGAAAGGGAACTGATCTGCGCCGGCTCGGGTCCGGGTAGGCCACGAGTGGACTCGGCTCAGAAGATCCCGCTGGAACGAGGGGTCGAGGGCTCTAGGTGCGATCCGTGTCAGGACACCGAGAAGTGATCACAGCGTAGCACGTCTGGGCAGGGAGGGTGGCAGGAATAGAAGCAAGGATGGGAAGTAGTCGGCTGCATTATCCGCCACCGCGCCATCTGGCATGATGAGGCGTGGTAGAATGCCCAGTGCAATATGGTAGGGGTTCTGTAAATATCACAAGCCCCCGCCCCTCACCGCACCTCAACCGCATGCAAACACATCCCTAGGGTTATCCAAGGCTTTCAAGGGGACCCGGAAAAAAAATGAAGGCCACCAATATGGCCCAACATTGCCTCAAGATGCACCCAACAGCCCCCAAGAAGACCCCTAGAAACACCAAAGGAGGGGGGGGGCTTGAAGCTGGGGCTCCCCTTTTGTTCTTCGCGTTTCCCGCAGCACGCTCTGTCGGAGCTATCGCAGAGCCTCTTAGGTCCACCTTTGCTCAATCGTGGGGCGCCTTGGAGCGTCTGCACGGCACCAGGCATTATAGAAGAGATGATGACGTCAGACTCAAACTTCGCCTCCCACATCTCGTTGAACAAAAAAAGCGCCTGCTGCCACTGCCTACCCATGTTGCATGCGCAAACGATCGTATTGAAACAGCGCAGGCTCAATTTCGAACGTGGTTGAGACGCTTCGCGGAAGCATTGCAGCGCTGTGCTTCATTCACTTTGTCGTGGTCCTCTCTGGATACCATGCATTCGAAGGAATCCCGGACAAAAAAGGTTTGAGTCAAAGCGGTGACAGAACTTCTCATGGAGCCTGTGAAGGCTTCTGGGGCTTCTTGAGTGACCATGCCCCCCCACACCCCCAGCACGCTGAGTCGCAGTAGAAATGCCAACTGCTGTCTGGTAGGGTTTCTGCAAGTTTTCTAATGGACCCCCCCTCTCGTCACAATTTGCTGTACACAGCAGGGGCCCGACCACAAGAAACCTTCCCCAGGAAACCCAACCCTGAGACCCCAGGACGTCCATCGAGGTTTTGATGTGGGAACGTCACGTTTTCCATAGCAAGACAATCGAAACCCAAGAAACCCAGGGCAGCCTGGAGGCAAGCAGGGTGTTTCTCGGCATGGGTCTCCACTGTACATCGGCCCTCCCTCCCGAGGCTCCCTGGGCGGCCGGACGACTCCTTCCCAAGGCTCCCCTTAACTCTACACGGCTTCCCGTAGATGGTCCAAGAAAGCCACCAAAGCCGCACAGGCGGCCCCCAACATTACCTCAAGAACCCGCAAGTCTTGCGAGGCACACGGCAGCCCCTGAGAAGCGCCCAGTTGTCCCGACAGGAATTTTGAGAGGCTCTACGCACACCATAGCGGTCAGGAAAACCTGGCCGCTATGGTGTGCGTAGGTTGTGTGTTCTTTGTGTGCGTGTGTGTTGTATGTGTTGTCTCGTATTGTATGTGTTGTCTTGTATTGGATTGTGCTGTAGTGTGTTATGTTATGTTGTGTGTGTTGTGTTGTGTTGTGTGTGTTGTGTTGTACTGTGCGTGTGTGTTGTGTTGTGTGTTGTGTGTGTGTGTGGTGTGCTGTGTTGTGCTGTGTTGTGTTGTGTTGTGTTGTGTTGTGTGTGTGTGTGTTCGCGCATGCTCTGCGTTCAGATGTGCTTCCAAGTGCGGTTTTCGAAGGCCTATGGAGGTCGCCTGAGAGCCACAGGACGGCCTCAAGAGAGCACCAGGCTGGCCCAACAGGGTCTCCAGAATAGCTCAAGACGGCCCAGACTGCCCAAGAGGGCCCCTAGACGGCCCCCAAAGACCCCCCTGGACGGCCAAGATTTTCCCAGGACGGCCCAAGGGGACCCCGAAACGGCACAGAGGGTCTCCAGCAAACGTGTATCAGATCCACGCGACTTGATACACGCATGCTATGTGCCACGCGTATCCGTCTCACAGTGCCAGGCCGATCACACCATACTGCGCTAGAGGCCCTACCCTCGCATGTCCCCCCGATGAGATGTGTTCGAACCTTGAGCTGGTGCATGTTCCAGCTCTCTGTTATTTGCGTATGTATACATACAGGATTATAAGGCTCGCTGCACGTCGTCTTATAACATTGATCCTTTCACCTACATGTTTGATTGACTTTGCGTTAGCATGTTGATGTAGCCGCAGCGCTGCTACGACCCATTCCCGAACCTGACGTTGGGGAGGCTAACCTGGCGCAGCCCTGATTGGCAACAGACCCGACGCGTTCCGTCCAAACCGAACGCCAGGTTCGGCACTCGCCCAGCACGAAGGGACGGCAGCTGCGGTCGCCATTTGTCTTGCGCCAGAGGTGGCGCTCGCAAAAGACGGATGTAGCCGAGGCTCAAACGAGAGTACCAGGCTCACGCGCGGATGCGGAGGGCTCTGGGACGGCAACGCAAATCTTTGAAATGTGTGTGGCTGGCGCTTGGGCGGAACACCACTCTCCCATGAGGGCTGTGGGAACCGTGCGAGTGGAGCGGCATCACAGTAGTCAATCAGGGGTGTGTGTGGAATGAGTCCCGCGTTTCATGAAGGGTTTGGCCAGCGCGCAGACGGCAGCATGACTCCCAGACAGGGGTGTGGCCAGCGCTCGGGCGAGAGCGCCAATCCTATCCATGAATGGGGCTTGTGCGCGACCGGCAGCATCATCTGCAATGAGGGCTGTGGCCTCTTGAAGCCTTGGCAAGCTTCCTGGGAGTCTTTTGGGAGCATTCTGGAAACTCTGGGGACATCTTGGGCTTTCTTGGGGGTCCTTTTGGGGCTCTGTTGGGCCGGCTCTGGGCCCCTTGGGCTGTCTTGGGGCCCTCTTGAGCCGTCCTGGAGATCTGGGGCCGTCTTGGAGCCCTCTGGGGGCTCTCTCAGGCCGTCCAGGGGGCCTCCTATGGCCCTCTTGGAGCTACCCTGGGGCCTCCATTGGACCCTCTGGGGCCCCTCTTGGCCGTCTTGGGACTCTCTTGGGCCGTCCCGGAGCCCTCTTGGGCCGTCTTGGGGCTCTCTTGGGGGCCTCTTGGGCCGTCTTGGGGCGATAGCCTCTTGGGCCGTTTTCAAACCTCTCTGGTCGTGAAAAAGCCGTCTTGGGCTCTCTCGGAGCGCTCTCGGGCCGTCTTGAGGCCGTTTCGGGCCTTTCTAAGGCCGTCTCGGAAGTGCCTTCTGCCGCATGGGGAACCCGATGTAAGCTCCGGGGCGCGCTTGTAGGGTTTTCTTGGGCCCGTCTGAATGCATTGTGGAGCTTTCTTGGGGGCCTCTTCGGCAATCAAAGGGGGCCGAAGGCGTATACCTCCCGCCCTGGGGGGGGACGGTGACATGTTTTTTTGTTTTTTGTAGATTCATAGGTCGACGAAACGAATCGATAACTGTATAGACATACACATTCATATGCACACACATATACATATATATATATATACATACGCAGACAACTATACATAAACATCTACTTCTACACATACGTATGTATACATATGAATGTACATATGTGTATATACAGGTCGCTCTCTCTCTCTCTCTCTCTTTGTGGCTCTCTCTCTCTGCCTGTCTCTCTCTATCTCTGTCTCTCTCTCTCTCTCTCTCTCTCCCTGTCGCTGTCTGGGTCGATCTCACCTTGTGTCTGTCTCTCTCGCTCTCTCTCCCTATCTCCTTTTTTCTCTGTCTCTCTCTATATCTCTATCTCTTTCTGTCTCCAGTTCTGTCTCTCCCTCTCTTTCTCTTTGTTTCCTTTCCATCTTAAGTTGACAGCCGATCTCAATCTCAAACTCTGGCGCGTCGCGCTTGTGCAGATCCGGGCATAGGACGCCCCACAGGCACCCCGGGCAGAGGCCCCTTCCTTCTACTCAATCTCTCTCCGCAAACTCATCTTCATCCTTTCTCTCCTCCCTCCGTCCTCCTCCTCGTCCTCCTCGCCTTCCTCCTCCACCCCTGGCCAGGGCATCGGCGAGAGGGCCGCCGCGGGAGGGGAGGCCCTCTGGGGCGGCGGCAGCAGCTGCCGGATCCGCGCCCTGCGGTCGGAGGGCGTGAGCGCGGGGCCCGCGACCTGGCGTGAGGGTGCCGTGGGGGCGCGATGCTTGTGGACAACGCCTGAGAACGAGCTTGTCCAGTCCGATGCTGCGGGGCGGGGGTTGTGTGCAAGACTGTCACGCCCTGGGGGCAAGATGTTTGTGCACCTCCCCGGCTCACAAGCTGGTCCGGCGCAAGGTACGCGGGTAGGGGTGGTGGTCATACATCGCTCCCCGAGGCCATGCGTGAGGTTGTTGCAACATCGCGTCCACCAATTGAGCGCCGAAATGAAAAAAGTCTTACGCGATATGAATATGACATATCAACCTTGCGCCTGGCTTACGCGGGCCACCAGCGCGGCACACCACATAGGAAACGAGGAACCCGTACGCGCCATCCTACGTGGCAGCTTACCCGCGAATGTCGGCACAGTCGAACCCGTTTTTGTGCGTCGCTCAGGTGGCGAGGACTCCACGAACTCTGGGACTGAGAATTGTCAGAGTTCTGCGGCAGCTCATGGGAGCCCACCATACCATCTCGTTGGCTCTTACGACTCGACGCTAATCGACGCTAATCGGCGCTAGATCGACGCTAGATCGACGCTAATCGGCGCTAGACCGACGCGACATCGGCGCTCTCTCATCGAGTACTGGACGCTGGCGCACGCGAATGCCCCTGCAAACGCGGATTTGCGAGGACGTACAAGGCTCCCATGACTGGCCGCCGAACTCTACGACTGAGAACCGCCAGAGCAACGCCGACCCCGCATCCTGCACCGGAGCGGCGCATGGCCAGCCGTGTACACTTCACAGGTTACCAGCCTGGAACATATCCCTATCCCTATGCTGGGCATCTCCTCATCACGATGCCAATCTTAGGGATTCCCTTAGTTTTGAGGGCGCATCCCCAAGATTGTCATCGCCTTTTGGCGTGTCAATCTTAGGGATAGGGATAAGTTCGAGGCTGGTAAACAGGGAGGAGGAGGGGAGAAGATAAAGACAGGGGAGGGGCCCAGAGGCCGCGCCCTGGGCGGAGGGAGGGAGGAGGCTTGTCCTCGTCCGAGCTGGCACGGAGATTGGCAGATCCCCGACGCACTTCTCGGTGGAATGACTGAAGCGACAGATTCGTTTCGTGACGGGCTGACGTCCCCCAAGTTCCCTGAGTCTGTACTGGTAAGGGTGTACTGGCAAGAGAAGGCATGTCTCGGGAAGACCAGCCTTGCTAGTCTGTCGCACGCAGCCGCCGTGCAGAAACACTGCCCTTGCCAGTTGTTATGCTGCGTTTTGGCACAGACAACCGGCGGCGAGCGAAGGGGGAAGTGAGAAGAGGCGGGCATTCTCAGAAGGCTCCGAAATCCCCATGCCTTCTGAGAAGTTTCTTAGCCTTCCCAGAAGACACGAAAAACCTCTCAGAAGGCGCGAGAGCTTCTGAGAAGTCCCGCCGCCTTCTGAGAAGGCCTTCTCCTTCTCACTTCCCCCCCTCGCTCACCGCCGAGACAAAAAACACAACGTCGGAGGTCCCGGGAGCCCAGTTCGCGGAGCAACCAGCAGTGGGAGCGCCAGCGGCCATAAGCTGCTTCCTTCTGCAGCGCGTGGCGGGCTGGCTTTCCGGAGCGCGTGGTGGCGAGAGGGGCCACAAAAAACATTCTCCAAGCAGGGCAAAGCAAAAATGCGCAGAGGTGAAGCAGGCCACGGAGGCACCACCGGTTGTCAAAGCCGGGTGGGCGGAGCCCAGGTGCACTCACACAAACACACACGTGCTCTTTCCCCGCGACGCGCTCCAGCTCGCGGCAAAACCGGGCAAAACGCACACGGGAACATACACACACAAACACACACACACACACACACTGAGGGGCTACCCGCGAAGCGCGCGCAGGAACTCGCGGCGGCCGGGCCGAGGGCAACTTCCGCTCCGAGGGCCGGCACGCGAATTGCTCAGGAACGCACTGGCTCTGACAAGAGGACGCATACGTAACACCCCGCAGCTGCGGATGAAAGTGAAGGGGCGGGCACGGGGTGAGTTGCGAGTGGGTCGCGGGAGTGTCGCGGGGTGGGTCGCGGGGTGGGTCGGGGTGGATCGCGGGTAGGTCGCAGGGCGGGTCGCGGGCGGGTTGCGGGCAGGTCGCCAAGTGGATCGCGGGGTGGGTCGCGGGGTGGGTCGCGGGGCGGGTCTCGGGCCATGACGACGACAGCAAATCATATAATTTTGAATATGTTCGCTCTTATCTGCTCGCGTGCCATTCAACACCAATATCCACAACCCTCAACCCCGCCCTCTTCATCATCGATCGTACCCCCCTCGGGGTGTATCTGTCTTGCCTGCCAGGTGTCCATGGCACAGCCCCCAACACAACGGAAGGGAAGAGAGAAGGGAAGGGACACGGGAGAGGGAGAGGCGGACAGAGCACGAGAGCGATTAGCAGCGAGCAGGGGCGAGGAGGAGGGGATCAAGCGGCACAACCAGACGGGCGGGTCGGAATGGCGAACCCTAACGGGCAAGCTGGGCGGGCGGGTCCAGGCGGCCAGGTCGAGCGGGCGGGTCGCCGAAGCGTCAGTCCTGCAAGAGTCGAGGAGAATCCTCAAACGATAGCCCGATTCCCAAATACGTAAACCATGAAGAAGTCAAACTCGAAAGCGTGAATCCTGCGTGTCGCGGGCGCGGCGCCTCAATGAATTGCGAAGCCGTCCCACGCGAGAGCGCGATCCATGCATACATCGTGGGGAAGTCCCGCGCGAGAGCGCGACTTTGAAGACAGCGCGTGGAAGTGTAATTATGTTGGAGCCCTTGCTGAGTTTTCATGCTGAAAAAAACAGTTCTTGCTGATCCCTCGCTCTGGTATCAATTCGTGCTGCGTGCTTTTTTCCATGGAAGTGCCCCTCCCAGGGCTCGCGCCCAGACTTCTGCAAGGGATGGCCTTGCGCCTCAGAGTCCCATTTGACAACAACAACAACCATCATGAACAACACCGGCAACAACAATAATAACGACAACAATTATTTTCAGGCGGTTCACTCTTACCCGCTCTTGTGCCGCTCGCAAACAAATATCCCGAGCCCTCGATACCCGCCCTCTTCGTCTTCGATCTTGCCCCATTGGGGGGAGATCTTCCTTACCTGCCGCATGTATTCGGAGCAGCCCCTAACAAAGGAAGGGAGGGCATATGGAAGGAATGGAAAAGGGGGAGGGGGAATGATTGAGGACGAAAGCGATCAGCACGAGGGGGGGGCTAAGAGCATAATCCAAGTGGTAGAGCCAAGTGGGTGGATCAGGCGGGTAGAGCCTGACAGGCGGGTCGGCAAGGCCCAGGCGGCCGGGTCGAGCAGGCGGGCCGCTGAAACGACAGTCCTGCATGGGTCGCAAGCGATAGCGCAATTCCCAAGTAAATCGTTAGGAAGTCCTAAGCGAAAGCATGATTCCTGCGTGTCGCGGGCGCGGCGTCTCAATCAATTGCAAAGGAACCCCGCGCGAGAGCACCATTTTGAATACATTGTGCGGAAGTATGAGACGGGAGGCGCTGATGTTGTCAACCGGGGGCCAGGGCATAATCTGACGCGCAAATTTTTCCTGAGTAAACAAGAATGTGCGACCCCCGGGAGGAGTGGTTTATTTGAAAAGCACAATGGGCACCGAATGGGATCAGCATCAAGTATTCTGTAGTGCGAACTCAAGAATCATCTTAAGACTGATCGCTGTCATCTGCTCGCGTGCCTTTCTACAAAAAAACCCAAACCCTCGACACCCGCCCTCTTCGTCTTCGATCGTGCCCCCTTGGAGGTGAATCTTCCTTACTTGGCACGCGTACTCGGCGCAGCACCTACAACCAGGGGACGAGAGAGCACGAGAGAGATTAGCAAGAGGGTGGTTGGGAGCAGGAAGCACGTGGTAGAACCAGATGGGCGGATCGGTCGGGTAACCCGTAGACCCTGACAGGTGGGTCGGGAAGGTGGGCCCAGGCGACCGGGTCGAGCAGGCGTGGTGCTGAAGCGTCCGTCCTGCATCATTCGACAACATTTCTCGACCGATAGCGCGATTCCCAAGTTAATCGTTAGGAAGTCCAAAGCGAGAGCGCGATTCCTGCGTGTCGCGGGCGCGGCGTCTCGCGAAGAAGTCCCACGCGAGAGCGCGATCCATGCGAAAATTGTGAGGACTTCCCGCGCAAGAGCGCGATTCTGCAATACATTGTGCAGAAACCTCACGCGGGAACAGTTGTTGTTGTTGTTGTAGTTCGGAGGCCAGCAAGCGAATCTGAGGCTGGAGACTTTCTCTAATAAAACATGTGCGAACCCCGAGAAAAGCACGATGGGCACGGGGGGGTGATCAACAACGGCTCCCGCCTGATACTTCCCAACGATTTATTCAACATCGAGCTTCCGCGCGGGACGTCCTTACAAATTATCCAAGACTCGCGCTCTCGCCATGGACTTCTCCGCAATGTATGAAAACGCCGCGCCCTTGACACTCAGGGCACACGCTCTCGCGTCGGACGTCCTCACGACTTACTGAAACATCGCGCGATCGCCTACACTTCCTCGCGATCCATGCGAGACTGATGCTTCAGGGGCACGCCCGCCCGCTCGATCCAGCCGTCTGGTCTTGCCCGCCCGACCCACTCCTTTCGGCCCGCCCGGCCAACCCTCCCGTCTGGTTCTGCCGCTTGCGCCCCTGCTCCTAACCCCCCTCCTGCTGATCTCTCTCGTGCTCCCTCCGTTTCCCTCCCCCTTGTCTTTCCCCTCCTCCCTCCATTCCGCTATTTTCGGAGCTGCGCCAACGACGCGTGGCCGAAAAGGAAGATCTACCCAGAGGGGGGCACGATCGGAGACGAAGAGGGCAGGCATGAAGGGCTCCGGGGCATACGTGTTGAGTAACACGTGAACAGATAAGAGCAAACAGTCTTAAACATATTGTTGTTGTTGCTGCTGTTCCCCAATCAGTGTTTGCACTGAAAAGGGTCCTAGCGGACATAAAAGAGATTGGCCAAAGTAGCCGGCCGATTTCGGTGGGCGGCTCTCGGTGAGCGTCTTTCGGTGGGCGCCC